TTAAGAGAAGAGTCCGTGAGCCTTCTTCTCTTTTCACGCAACTCAAAACGCTGTTCCTCACATTTGGTCCCTTAAAATGTTCTGTTACAGGAAGTTGATTGTTTGACAAAGTTGCATGGAGCCAAGCAGCCAATATATTACACTCAGTGAATCTTGGTCACGTTTCCGACCCTCCTGATGTTGTTTTATACCTCAACATGGGTGTAGATAAACATGGCCTTACAAAGTATCATTGCTTGCGTGGAACAAAATCACTTGAAGGTGGCATACACAGACACATCATAAAGAAATTTGGTTCGTATGGTGCTGGTCCTGCTTTAACAGATAGTGCTCTCGCAGAATTCAGAATGAGACACAATTTGGACGTAAGTGTCAATTTGAAGGTTTTATGTTTTAATATGTACCTAATTATTTTATATATTGTGATAAATTTTAGGTGGGTACAGCCAACAGATACCTTCGAAATTACCGCTCTCATTATGATCCATGGTTGACACAAATAATTCACGAAAAGCGATTATTACTGGAGTTTCCAACCGACGCTAACCAGATTGCAATTGGGTTGAACTCAACTCAATATCAAGGATCTGACGAGAGTTTTGGTATATGTCCTCTGCCCACTGATGTTATGGAGAAACTATGTATAGAGAAATGTACGTTTATTGTGAAACTCACTCGAAAAAACAAAAAATAACAATTTTATTTTAGGTTCCAATCCCAGTAAGACAGTCTATAATCCAGATCGTGATTCAACTATTCCTAGTATAGAGAATATCTACTTTCATACAGTAGGCTCAACATTACGTGTCAAATTTGCAAGATTCAAATATATTGCCAGTTTGCAGCAGGCCTTATATGCAGTCCTTCCAGTCATAACTAACGAGGAAAAACATATGTTTCACAAAATGCTCCTTGATCATCACTCACAGTCTAACTCTTTGCCTAATTTCAAAAGTATTGCTATAACTTGGAATACCTCCAACTTAAATGACAAGGAACTTTCAGTAAATGGAATGACAGTATTTTACAAGACGCCAGAGCATTTAAAACTGTATTACAGTCAATGGAAAAAATTTAGAGATGCTGCTGAATCCAGAAATAAATTTGAAACCTTGTTGAGCACCGTCAAGATTAGAATAGAACAAACAAATACTACTATAAACATACGGGTACAGGTCCCAGAGCGACCTTACATAATCCCTAATGCCTCTGTAACAAATCATCACAATTCCTCCCATCCTTTATCTTCAGGATCTTCAGGTGCAGATGCAGTAAATTTAACGAGTATCCCACCCATCAATTCCTCAAATTCTTTAAACGTTGCATGCAATCAACCTCACCAATATATCTCTAATTTCGTATTTAATCCAATGATACCTCAAAAAAATGCTAATACAAATTATTTTCCAAATCAACAACAACAACAACAACAAGTTACCGTATCTCCTCAATTTTTTTCTACCCCATATAATTACACATCTGTAAGCTCTCCTACTGTAAGAGAAATTACCATCAATTAAACTATGTTATACTAATTCCACTATCTAATCTAGGAACAGACATACCGGTCAATCCAGCCAGCACAAGTAACAACAACCCAAAATGGTCCTCCCATAAAGCGTGCAAAGAGAGTAAGGATCTGTCAAATTTGTAAACGCGAGCAGTGTCCAGGAAATATGAACAGAACAAAATGTACAAATATTTAAGCCGATCTATATATCAAACATGCAAATAATCTATCAACTTATGCTTCAAATTCATGCTTCTTACCTTACCTTATGCCTTCAACCTTATGCCTTCAACCTTATGCCTTCAACCTTATGCTTTCAACCTTATGCCTTCAATCTTATGCCTTCAACCTTTTCGTTATCTGTCGAATAAATATCATTCATGCACATATTATTAAATAGCATTGTTGCGGGGATATTAACTTTGATAGTAAATGTAATTGGATTCTTCAATTAAAATTGAAATGAACTTATAACTGTAACAAAAAATGCAAAAGTTTTAATATAAGGAGCAGATGTGTTTTATTATTTAATTTTACCTATAACAAAAGATGCAAAAGTTTCAATATAAGGAGCAGATAAAAAGGCTCCTTATTGCATCTCTCGTTACGGCTTTTATACAAAATCAATGGTGTAACACCCGAAAAAAAATTAAACTCTGATCCCCGTGACAGCATATGTACTGTTTTTTCCCAGCAATAGATTAAAAAATAAATATTTTATTCATTAATGAACACTGGCAGCATTTTTTTTGCATTCTTCGTCTTTTTTTTTTTTTTTTTTTTTGGCTGCCGCCAAAAAAAAATCTTTCCTCCCTCCCCCCAGGTATGTCACACAAGCCGATTTGTTTCGCAACGGAATTCTAGGGTGTTACAGCTCAAGATATGGCCTGCATTGCCACTCGCTTCTTCCAAATTAATTTTTGCTTCTAAAAATCGGGTTTGCACAACACGTATGATCAGCAATAGCGACGTTATGGCAGTCCTAATTTGACCACTGTATAATCCTCGCTCTTGAAGGATTATTTTGAGACCCTTAAATAAATCTTTTTTTTGTTGTTCTGGCATAAAAAATATCAAGAAGTTAAAAAAATACTTACTAATTAGTATCCTTAAATAACTTACTGGATGCTTTTTTCTAATAAGCTTTACAATCTTTTGCCGTTGTGCTAAACGCACATACAATAAAATCATCGGTAATCCAAATTTGGAATTCTGACATATTGAATACAATGGAAGAGCCGATAGAAGATATTATCAGAAATTATTGAAGCAAACTGTCGGCGACAACGTACCCTTGAATTCATGTAGAATTCAACAGTCAAGATAAATTTATGGACTAGCAATTTAATAACAGTCCGCTTTCAAAAGAGTATAAATAGACCCCATTATTTCATAGTTAAAACTTCAGTCAAATAAAGTAACAAGGACTTATAATCGTACTTATTACACCATTGTTTTTTTTTATATACTTTATATTTTTTTATCAAATCAGAAGTAATTGATTGTAACAGCCGTTTTAAAACAGCATTCAACTTTGAGTTATGGAATTTTTGAATTTTAAACTAAATTTTTGTCCCTTTGGACATAAACATTTTGGATTTTGGTAACATCTTCACTTCCGGCAGACTTTCCGGTATATCCACCATTGCTTACTCGGACCTCATCTTTACCTAATTCATGGGTAATCATGTTCATTCTGTTAACGACCAAAGCATCCAAAGCAAAGGTCTTGTGCTGGCTATTTTGGTCGAACGAGAACACTGCAATTCTGTCTTTATGCAAGGAAGCAAAGATCACAAGAACGTCTTGCAACTATTCCAGAATGTGAGAGCTAGTCCAATAGGCAGTCCCAAACATTAAAAATAAAATTCCGAATTTTTTTTTAAACAATCCCGTAATTTTTTCCCCAGTCAAAAATTTAGGAACGGACGATAAATTTCGGTCAAGAAAAACGACGGACGATAATTATCGGTGGAGAAAAATGACGGACGATAATTATCGTCCGTGGATTTTACGTCATAAATTATGACGAAATTGCCATAAAAAGTAATAAATAGTTTATTTTTCTTTACTTTACGTCATAAAAATGACATGCAAATGTCACCACTCATCTAATTATCATATATAAATCTCGTTTATCCTACATTTGACTTACCGTCTTTCTCTAAATTTTTTTTTCAAATTAAATCAACTAAAATGCCCGGTCACGTAAACAAACTACTGATAGAACATCCAAGAAAACGTCTTCCAAACCAGCTTCTGTTGATGATAGCCAACGTGGATCCAACACTAGTCCTGCTCATGCCAAAGCGATGATTGGTTACTTCGAGGAAAACATCAAGCTTTTTAAAGCATACATCGGTGTACATGATAACGCTGCCCCTGGAGCTGCTACCATAGTCAAAAAGCGTGAAATCATTAAGGGTATGATGAGAAAATTGCTGGCTCACAAGGCTATACCACCGATTGGACGCTGGATTAGCTTATGAAACGTGTTGCTCGTCTTTTTACCAAGTACCGTGAGAAATTCGAGAGTGATAATAGCGAATTAAGAAAAAGTGTGAAATTCAACAAAGTGAAATGACCAAACTGCAAAATAAACTAAAGCTTTATTAAACAAATAAAGGGGGTCTTTATATACACTTATTTCAGACATTGATCACAGATGGGCTGATGACGGTGTGGGTAGATTTATCCAGATAATACTCGGATGTAATGATCCCATATAGAAAGACCATAATGAGATGTCAATAACAATAACAATAACATTCATTCTTAAACTGTGTATGTCTTGTAGCACAACATTCAGGGGAAAATGTAGTTCTTATTAAAGATAGCTGTGGCACCTCAACGTGGCTGATATAACCTTCATATGTTTTCATATCAATGTTATTATTTAAATGTATATCTTATACTTGTATGAAGGATGATATGAGATCAAGCCTGTACATAAAGTAAATGATCAGTATTTAATATAAAGTACCAATAAGAATTATATTTAGGATTATCAAATGGAAGATTTAAGAAGTGTAGATAGAGTCATATATTAAGTATATAGCCTCGATCACGACAGCCAGACAAAAGTGTCCATATGATTTTGAATTCCATGATATCAATAGTTTTCTCTGCCATGGCTAAAATATAAACAAATAAAGAAAACATGTCTTTAAACTTCAAAGGTTCTAGACTACTTCTAAAGTTGACTATTTAATGATGCTCATTTAATTCTAAATCATCCTAATTTGAATAACCGGTATACATACGAACACTTTTGCCTGTCACTGTGTATATTGAACAATCATCAAATTGAGTAACATAAACTTGCTAATCATATTTTAAACAGAAACAATATCTTTTAAGTGATAACTTATTTTTTGATTCTATCTTAAAAAACGCTTCCGCCCAATCAGAAGACGTTCACATGATTATCACGTGTTAAATCATTACGTAAAGATTCTCTGCACATTTGAGAGTTAAAGCAGTAGGACAGGGTGAGATAGCCCAACTGGTTAGGGCGCCGGTATACTAGTCATCCGGCAGCGGGTTCGAATCCCGCACTCACCATTATTTTTCGACAGGCGGCCCATGAAATTATATCACGTGATATTCTAAACCCAACCTTTACTATGTATTATATATAATCACAGCCGTAAGGGGTGACATACCTCAACTGGATAAAGATATGGTATACTAGCAATGATATAGCAGATGACCGCAATCAGTGTCGCAGGGAATCAAAACTATCCCCAATGATCAATAAATTGAAATTTAAAATTTATCGGGGTGGTGGAAATTGAGCGCAATTGTAAGTAAGGATACAGATGTATTTTACTAATGATGATTTTTCCTCAAAAAATTGAGGGCAATTATAATTAGAAGAAAAGGCAAAGAATCCTTATGTGATGATATGCTCTATTTCTGCTACATTAATTAAATCGATATCTTTGACCTGAATACCTACAAAATGCTTTAGGAGTCGATTACCTAATTTAGATAGTTAGTAGTATCATATAACAAAATTAAAAAGACTCAGTAGCTAAGGCTTATTGAGATATGGAAGTAAATTGTGCCTAACATGACGGTACTTCTATGTGTAACATATTTACAAAACAAGCAATTAAAGATAATAAGATACATATTGTGACAGTGATTACAACTTCCCAGATACACTAAAGATAGTCAGACAGCAAATGGTCTTTCTCTATAAATACCTGTTCATTTGGTTTCATAATAAAGACATCTTATAAACAGTCTTAAACTATTCATAAACCTCCTTATAATTTACTTATGTTAAAACACAACACCTTACTTATGCTCAACTCATCAGGTAGTTACATACAATTTATTATAAGTAAACTTACAATACTTGCTTTTTGTAACAAGCAAGATATATATTTAAGAAAATTAAAGTAAAAGAAAAGAACAGAGCATTATAAAAATATCGGATTAAGAAAAATGGGATACTTGAAATTTATCGGCAGTATTGACAGAGAACGAAATCGAGAAATTGAATAAAAGATTAAGCAATGACAAAGTTTGGTCATATCTTATGTGATTCATCACAGGTTATTTAAAGACTAGACAGATTAAGGATAAACATTAAGTTAAAAAGCTGGTTTTTCTTGAAATATAAATTTGGTACAACATGTAACATGATTAAGACAACTGTATTTTTGGTTCGTGGGGATCCCCTTTCCCAAAAACTCCTACCCATTTGGGAGGAAACCCCTCGCGCCAGCCCTAAAATCCTGACTTGTGTAACTTTTGTGCCTGAAAATTGGCTTACACTGTGACTATTATATAACACTCCCATCATTTCAATAAAATAACGGGTTCGGCGTTACAAATCCCGTTTTCCTAACCGCGGATCTCGTCCATTTTTTGCCACATATCCTGGTTTACTAGGGTCGGACCTTAATCCAGTTTTTTAAAAAATGGATTAGGTCCGACCCTAGTAAACCAGGATATGTGGCAAAAAATGGACGAGATCCGCGGTTAGGAAAACGGGATTGTAACGCCGAACCCGTTATTTTATTGAAATGATGGGAGTGTTATATAATAGTCACAGTGTAAGCCAATTTTCAGGCACAAAAGTTACACAAGTCAGGATTTTAGGGCTGGCGCGAGGGGTTTCCTCCCAAATGGGTAGGAGTTTTTGGGAAAGGGGATCCCCACGAACCAAAATACAGTTGTCTTAATCATGTTACATGTTGTACCAAATTTATATTTCAAGAAAAACCAGCTTTTTAACTTAATGTTTATCCTTAATCTGTCTAGTCTTTAAATAACCTGTGATGAATCACATAAGATATGACCAAACTTTGTCATTGCTTAATCTTTTATTCAATTTCTCGATTTCGTTCTCTGTCAATACTGCCGATAAATTTCAAGTATCCCATTTTCTTAATCCGATATTTTTTATAATGCTCTGTTCTTTTCTTTTACTTTAATTTTCTTAAATATATATCTTGCTTGTTACAAAAAGCAAGTATTGTAAGTTTACTTATAATAAATTGTATGTAACTACCTGATGAGTTGAGCATAAGTAAGGTGTTGTGTTTTAACATAAGTAAATTATAAGGAGGTTTATGAATAGTTAAGACTGTTTATAAGATGTCTTTATTATGAAACCAAATGAACAGGTATTTATAGAGAAAGACCATTTGCTGTCTGACTATCTTTAGTGTATCTGGGAAGTTGTAATCACTGTCACAATATGTATCTTATTATCTTTAATTGCTTGTTTTGTAAATATGTTACACATAGAAGTACCGTCATGTTAGGCACAATTTACTTCCATATCTCAATAAGCCTTAGCTACTGAGTCTTTTTAATTTTGTTATATGATACTACTAACTATCTAAATTAGGTAATCGACTCCTAAAGCATTTTGTAGGTATTCAGGTCAAAGATATCGATTTAATTAATGTAGCAGAAATAGAGCATATCATCACATAAGGATTCTTTGCCTTTTCTTCTAATTATAATTGCCCTCAATTTTTTGAGGAAAAATCATCATTAGTAAAATACATCTGTATCCTTACTTACAATTGCGCTCAATTTCCACCACCCCGATAAATTTTAAATTTCAATTTATTGATCATTGGGGATAGTTTTGATTCCCTGCGACACTGATTGCGGTCATCTGCTATATCATTGCTAGTATACCATATCTTTATCCAGTTGAGGTATGTCACCCCTTACGGCTGTGATTATATATAATACATAGTAAAGGTTGGGTTTAGAATATCACGTGATATAATTTCATGGGCCGCCTGTCGAAAAATAATGGTGAGTGCGGGATTCGAACCCGCTGCCGGATGACTAGTATACCGGCGCCCTAACCAGTTGGGCTATCTCACCCTGTCCTACTGCTTTAACTCTCAAATGTGCAGAGAATCTTTACGTAATGATTTTAACACGTGATAATCATGTGAACGTCTTCTGATTGGGCGGAAGCGTTTTTTAAGATAGAATCAAAAAATAAGTTATCACTTAAAAGATATTGTTTCTGTTTAAAATATGATTAGCAAGTTTATGTTACTCAATTTGATGATTGTTCAATATACACAGTGACAGGCAAAAGTGTTCGTATGTATACCGGTTATTCAAATTAGGATGATTTAGAATTAAATGAGCATCATTAAATAGTCAAACTTTAGAAGTAGTCTAGAACCTTTGAAGTTTAAAGACATGTTTTCTTTATTTGTTATATTTTAGCCATGGCAGAGAAAACTATTGATATCATGGAATTCAAAATCATATGGACACTTTTGTCTGGCTGTCGTGATCGAGGCTATATACTTAATATATGACTCTATCTACACTTCTTAAATCTTCCATTTGATAATCCTAAATATAATTCTTATTGGTACTTTATATTAAATACTGATCATTTACTTTATGTACAGGCTTGATCTCATATCATCCTCATACAAGTATAAGATATACATTTAAATAATAACATTGATATGAAAACATATGAAGGTTATATCAGCCACGTTGAGGTGCCACAGCTATCTTTAATAAGAACTACATTTTCCCCTGAATGTTGTGCTACAAGACATACACAGTTTAAGAATGAATGTTATTGTTATTGTTATTGACATCTCATTATGGTCTTTCTATATGGGATCATTACATCCGAGTATTATCTGGATAAATCTACCCACAACCGTCATCAGCCCATCTGTGATCAATGTCTGAAATAATGTGTATATAAAGACCCCCTTTTATTTGTTTAATAAAGCTTTAGTTTATTTTTGCAGTTTGGTCATTTCACTTTGTTGAATTTCACACTTTTTCTTAATTCGCTATTATCACTCTCGAATTTCTCACGGTACTTGGTAAAAAGACGAGCAACACGTTTCATAAGCTAATCCAGCGTCCAATCGGTGGGTATAGCCTTGTGAGCCAGCAATTTTCTCATCATACCCTTAATGATTTCACGCTTTTTGACTATGGTAGCAGCTCCAGGGGCAGCGTTATCATGTACACCGATGTATGCTTTAAAAAGCTTGATGTTTTCCTCGAAGTAACCAATCATCGCTTTGGCATGAGCAGGACTAGTGTTGGATCCACGTTGGCTATCATCAACAGAAGCTGGTTTGGAAGACGTTTTCTTGGATGTTCTATCAGTAGTTTGTTTACGTTGACCGGGCATTTTAGTTGATTTAATTTGAAAAAAAATTTAGAGAAAGACGGTAAGTCAAATGTAGGATAAACGAGATTTATATATGATAATTAGATGAGTGGTGACATTTGCATGTCATTTTTATGACGTAAAGTAAGAAAAATAAACTATTTATTACTTTTATGGCAATTTCGTCATAATTTATGACGTAAAATCCACGGACGATAATTATCGTCCGTCATTTTTCTCCACCGATAATTATCGTCCGTCGTTTTTCTTGACCGAAATTTATCGTCCGTTCCTAAATTTTGACTGGGGAAAAAATTACGGGATTGTTTAAAAAAAAATTCGGAATTTTTATTTTTAATGTTTGGGACTGCCTATTGGACTAGCTCTCACATTCTGGAATAGTTGCAAGACGTTCTTGTGATCTTTGCTTCCTTGCATAAAGACAGAATTGCAGTGTTCTCGTTCGACCAAAATAGCCAGCACAAGACCTTTGCTTTGGATGCTTTGGTCGTTAACAGAATGAACATGATTACCCATGAATTAGGTAAAGATGAGGTCCGAGTAAGCAATGGTGGATATACCGGAAAGTCTGCCGGAAGTGAAGATGTTACCAAATCCAAAATGTTTATGTCCAAAGGGACAAAAATTTAGTTAAAATTCAAAATTCCATAACTCAAAGTTGAATGCTGTTTTAAAACGGCTGTTACAATCAATTACTTCTGATTTGATAAAAAATATAAAGTATATAAAAAAAAACAATGGTGTAATAAGTACGATTATAAGTCCTTGTTACTTTATTTGACTGAAGTTTTAACTATGAAATAATGGGGTATTTATACTCTTTTGAAAGCGGACTGTTATTAATTGCTAGTCCATAAATTTATCTTGACTGTTGAATTCTACATGAATTCAAGGGTACGTT